ACCCACCTGCCCTTTGTCCTCGGACCATGTGTTTGTTTACCTGTCTGCTTTGCCAACTTAGTATCTATCTTTAGCCAACAAATGACATTTCCTGGCCAAAATATCTGGCCTTTCTGTCTCTGTTAACAGCCTTTACCCTCAGCAGGGCTCTGCTTTGCCCTAGCTTCCTCCTCCCTAAATTCCTGTTGAGGTTAGCTCTCTTCACTTCTCCAGAGAAAAGAACAGTGGTGGTTATAGAAACATTTGTGCTTTATATAAAAGTTGAGAGTAGTATCTGCTTTTATTTTCCCAAGTCTGTCTCTGGGGTGCAGACACTTGAATTCAGGCGGAGGGGTGAGGCTAGGACAGGGCTGTCCCAAGTTTGGGGCTAATCCCTGTGCTTCACTGAGACCTCAGAGTCTCTTCTCTGAATTACCCCTGCCTAGCGCTCCGCTTTCACCCTCTCTCCACATCAGCGTGAAAAGCTCTGTTCAAAAGGAAGAGAAAACATAAAGCATCTTATTTTCTTTTTTTAAAAAAAAAAAATTTTAAACCATGAAGAAAGTATTTTTAAAGAAATTCACCCAGGATATTAAAGTTCACTATATTGCGTATTTATCATGTGTGAGAATGTAAGTGTAACTGCAGCTAGTAGGCCCCTCCCAGATTGCTTAGGTTGTGTGAGTAGCTTTGCTTGGTGCCAGCCCTGTGCCCTTTGCTCTCCTGTCCTCTGTAGTTGTGATCAGAAGAAGATAACTGCACTGCACTGTCACGAGTCTCCTTTCACTATGTTGTGTGTTTGATACCGTAGCTCTGTTTCATGAAATAAACTGTGAATTGGGGGTGGGGTGGGGGGTGCAGGCTATGTAAAAATTTTAAGTGGAGAAGTTTGGTTTTGACATAGCTTCTCCAAAATAGGTTTCAGTGGGTAATTGGCTTTGACAGCTGTCTAGAAATGTCTCACAGGACAGGAGGGAGGGATGGAGGTCACGATTGGCCACATGTGTTTTGATATTTCCATGCACCACCATTCTTTGGAGCCTTCCTTCCAAACGCGCTGGGGAAACACCTTTGAGCTGTGTCCTTGTGAGGTACAGGAGTGGGAGCGTGGGTGAGCGGCCCTTGTAATGACAGGCACACCCTGTGCAGTGCCACTGTGGCTGCTGAATGGAGGCCCCAGAGAGCAGCATGAGAGTAGTGTTAAGACTGGCAGTGGTCACTGTCCTTTAGTAACATGAATGCTTGGGGAGGGGTGTGACAGGGGAAGAGGGTGACCTTGCAGTTATTCTGGACTGCTTCTGAATCCTATAATAGCCCTTTCTCTGAGGGTGTGAATTGATAACAGAGAAAATCTATTAGAAACTTCTGACCATTGAACAGGTGGTACTTTGGCATTGACGTTTGGCTGGGTGCTTGAAATTTGGATGGCCAGAGAGTCAGTCTGCCTCTGAGACAGCACCCAGGAAGTACTTTCCAGGGACAAGCCAAAGGCAGAAATGCTCCTAGGTAGTAACTAAAACTTCTCTTTTTTTAAGTTAGGTCAAAATATAAGGGAATTGTTGAAATTTGCATCCAAAACTTCATTTGTTCCTCCTGTTGGAGCCAGCCAATTTTAATAGAAGATGGCCATCATTTACACACATTTTTTTTTAGATGTCTGCTTCCCTAAAATTACTGAGTTTGAAATTATTATTTAAGTCACTGTGTCAATTTTTTTAAAAACCAATTCTGTATCTTTGGTATTCATACCTTCTGCCCCACACTACAGTCTGGGCTTGACATGCAGTAGTGAGCGGTCGTAGCTCTGCACTGTGGGTTCATTAAAGCAGGACTTGCAGGTTGTGTTTCAGTGTTGTTCCAGAACTGACAGGAAGGATGTCGGGGTTGTCCATGCTGGGCAATTAGGAGAGCATTCGACTGGATGGGTCTTGGACCTGGCTCCAAAAATTGTTTTCTAAAACTTACCGGGATATTGTCATCCTCTTGGGGATGTTGTCATTGGATGAAAAGAGGCTCAATGTCCTCACCTCCTAGTTCAGAGGACAAGAGCAGCAGCAGGAACTTCCTAATAAATATCCCAAGTCATTTAGACCTAGGTAGCTACTGCAGGGGCTTTGATTGGCTGTGACCAGTTTGCTCTCAACTGAGTTTCCTAGGTCAGTGCAGAAGTTCTAGTGTAAAATGAAATACAAATAATTGCTTTGTACACAAAACAATGTAATGATGGTGCTAATCTCATGGTATAAACAAGCACTGCCAAGGGCTGAGGGAATGGTGACTTGAGAAACGCATGTTCCCATTTGGGAAGATAATTTATATCGGTTCTTTTTAGCTCTGTGAGAGATAGTCAGCAGGTATCATTTGATGCCTGCCAACCCAACCCTGGAGTGTTTAGTACAATCCAGAGGTGGAAGAGATGATCCCATATCCAAATGATGACCATTGAGTTCTCAGGGCTAGGGTCACCTTTGTGCCGTCCTGCCTAGGACAGGTTAGAAGAGAGCTATGGGTGTGGGGTCCTTTACCTTCTGCTTCTCTACCTCTTCCCCTCTCTCGGCAGCATCTCATTTGCTTATGAGCAAGGTCAATGTTTCTTAAGAAAGTTGGAAGAGCTTATTTTATTTAGACAACTACAACCTCAAAAGAGATGCTTCCTTACCAACAGAAGCAAAACATACTAAACTCTTTTGTGGTACTTCCCCTAAATAGCCTTCCTGTCACTATGAGGGGCTCCAGGAGTAGCTCCTGGGAGCTTAGCACAGCTCAGACAGGGAGACAATGGGAGCACAGTAAAAACCAAGGGTCCTGGTGCTGTGTTCCAGGGTGAACAGAGTAGGTGGTCTCCGTGTTGTGGTGTTGCCGCCTTATGTGTGTAGGTGAGTGTGGAAGTTGGGTGAGTACAGCACCTAGGAGCTCACGGAAAAGCAGCCTTTTAGGTCTTGGGGAAGAAAGCTAACTAGAAAGCTATATTTTTTAAATGGGGAAAAGGATTCAGCCAAGGTTCATCACTGTGTTCTCTCACCTCCCAACAGATTGTCAGCTGGAAGTGAACCTCCTAGTGAAAGAGGGGAGCCCTGTGCTAGGAGCCCCCATAAACATGTACTGTAATTCTCTGTATATAGAAAAAATTACTGTAAAGTAAAGTTTAACTTTACTCTTATGGCCCTTGCCCTGTGTTTTTATTGTCTCTGGGGAGATGTAGCTGAAATCAGAGGACTGACTGGTTTGGGTTAGGAGCAGGAGCCAACCTGAGCCCTTGAAGTACTTGAAGGTTGGCATGGTTTCCCCCCAGATGCCACCAGCTGCTAAGCATTCTTCCTTACTATTGGGAATGGCTGGTGTTAGTTTCAGTCTCCTTCACAGGATTCCTCTACTATTCAAGGGGCTCTTCTTTGTTTTTGTTTAGGGGTTATTTGTTTTTTTGTATTTTTTCAAGATAGGAATTTCTCTGTGTAGCCCTGGCTGTCTTGGAACTCAATCTGCAGACCAATCTGGCTTCAAACTCAGAGATCTGCCTGCCTCAGCCTCCTGAGGGCTAGGGTTAAAGCCAAGTGCTGCCGAAGCCACCCTCAAGGGTATTTTGAGGGATTATTTTTAAAGAGAAATGAAACCAATACATTGGGTTGTTTTTAACACAAAAATTCAAAATCCAGGTTAACCTCAAGCTAGTTTTCCTCTTGCCTCAGCTGCCTGGTTGCTTAGATGACAGAAATACACTATTATGCCTAGTGCAAAAATGCCCTCTGGGCAGGAACTGATACCTAAATAGGACAGCAGAGGCAAAGGGGCCCCTAGCTGGAGCCACACCCTGACACTAACAACTGGAAAGGCCTGCAGTACATTCCCTCCTGTCAAACAGGAAGTATGTGCCCACTTGACACTGGCACAGCTTTTAGTGCATCTCTGATTGACACTGGCACAGCTTTTAGTGTATCTCTGACCCTGAACAAACTGGCAGTTGTGTCCGGTTTCTTTTTCTCAACTTACTTAGGGGTTTGTGCTGGCCTGGAACTCAACAGACACACCTGCCTCTGAACCCTGGCGCTGGGATTAAAGGCGGGCCACCACTCTGCCTTCCAGTCTTTTGTTGGGGGGGGGGGCTGTGTGTGTGTGGTTTTCTTTCTTTTTCAAAATAGGGTTCCCCTGTATAGTGCCGGCTGTCCTGAAACTCAATTTGTAGACCAGGCTGGCCTCGAACTTGACAGATCAACCTGACGGCCTCCCTAGTGCTGGGATTAAAGGCATGCACTGCTGTGCCACCACCCAGTTTCAAGTCCCTTCAATACATTAAACTATCTTGGATCCATAAGGCCTTGACTTGCAGAAGTACTGACTGCCTCTTGTTAAATGCACTACAGGGTGTTGAGGGAAGCTGAGGGCTTACGCAGCCTGAGCCACAGGTCTAGACATGAGACAAGTAGAGCTGGCCAAACTACCTTGACTTAAGGTTGGCAATGGCCGAACCTTTGATCTGTGGGCACAATTGCTCTCATGAGCTTTGTACCCCTCCATCCCAGCTACGAAGGAGGCGGCTGTGCTATCTGGTGAAATGTCTGCCTCGTATGTTAGAAGCCCTGGGGTCTGCTCTCCATGAACATATGCAAGTACACATGGATGTGGGGTGTAAGAGCCCATTGCTTCTCCATGGTTTCAGTGACAATTAACTTGGTTTCCAAACGGTAAGTCCTACAGGAAGTGAGGTCACACAGGTGGCCCCAGGAACAACCAGGTGCTGTGACACCCAGTGCATACATCAGGGAAGGGCTGTGAGTCACGGTGCATCCATTTTATTTACAGTTCAGAAGCTACTTAAGTAATCTGACAAGTCCTGTCCAGGATAGACGCCTGGGATTCAAATCAGCCCTTATCCCTCTTCATGCCCACAGTCTGCCCAATACATCCTCCGTTCCATGGGCCAGCACAGGCAGGTGCCACCTCTGCTGCCACGGGCACCTGGAGTAGCTCAGACACTCGACCATGCCAGCCCAGACAAGAATTGGGTCCAGCCCCTCTGGGGAATTCATTTAATTCTCCCAAGCCAGATGAGTTGTGCCTCAGTGGTGACAACAGCTGTAGAAGTAAGGGTTTGCCTTCTGGCTCAGATCCACACCTTTGTCCTCTGTCAAAGAGAGAGGTGGCTGAGCACCATGGTGGCAGGTAAACAGGTAAGGGCAACAGCTAGAGACCATGAGCCTAGAGGAAATCTTAAAGGGTAGGAAGTACACACCTGTCATCACCTGGAAGGCAGCCACACTGACGTAATCCTCTGCCACTTTCTGGAAGAGCTCGTCTGGCAAGCAAATATCAGTGAGGTCCCCATGCCAGCAGCCTTGGGAACCCAAAATGACCCAGCCAGCCCTCTGGACCTTTTTTCCTCCAGTGTTCTGCCTGCTCCTGCTGGCAGGCCTCAAGACAACACTCACCCACACTCTGGCCTGTCTTGCTGGATGTTTCAAAGAGCTGGGCTTTGATATCTGCAAAGAGAAATGACTAAGTCTTCATACTTGAAGATCAGACCTATGTGTAGCTTGGTCCCATAGGTTCAAGAAGAGCAGAGAACAGCCTAGGCTGTCAGCTGTCAGTCTTCCGTCCTGGTGATCCACTCAAGCAGGTATTGCCCACCCCCTGCCCCACACTCAAAGACTTTAGAACAGGTACTATCTGCATAGTCTTGGACATCATGGAAGTCTACACGGCGGCGGCGCCTGTCTTCCTCCAGCAGGTCACTTTTAGTGCCACATAGGTAGATTTGACAACCCTGTAGCAGAAGACAAGGCTGAGATTTATCTGCAAAGACCAACAGAGTCCCTGTGGCTGATCTGTAAGAGCTGGCCACCTACCTCCTCTAAACTGCGCAGCTCCTTCACCCAAAACTTGGCTCTCTCAAAGCTGCTGCTGTCAGTGAGGTCTTGGTAGAGATCAGACAGAAACAACCAAGGATCAGTGGCTTCCCTCGGATGCTGGCTTGTAACCCAACCCTTACTTGGAACAGGCCAGAATCCAACCCCTTACCATAACAGACAATAGCAGCTTTCGCACCCCGGTAATAGATTCTGCTCATGGCTTCATAGCGTTCAGATCCTGCTGTGTCCTGGCAGGTGAAGGGACTTAATGAGCTCCTCCATAAAACTACGAACTGGGCCCGCGTCTTCCAGAACCCCCCCCCTTTTTTTCCCAATGGGTATGGGGAAGGAAAAACAACCTCTATGACGCTCCAGTTGGCTAGTTTAAGACACCAAACCTCGGGGATGGTTTTGCTCAAAGCTATATAGCCCCAAGGGACTTACCCAGATACCCAGAGTCACCGTCCGGTCCCCAACGCACATCACCTTTGCCACGAAGGCAGCCCCGATGGTCTGCAACCAGGGAAGAGATAAGAGTCGGATGCAGGCCGGCCCCCTTCTTCCCAGGCCTGGTCCGGAGGGATCCACTCACGTTCTGATAGGGGCCCACCAGGAAGCGGTCGTGCACGTATCGCTCCACCAGGCTCGTCTTGCCCACGTATTCCTTGCCCAGCATAACCACCTTGACGTCCACGCGCTGCCCGCTCATGCTCCCGGGGCCGCCTCACACGTCAGGGTCCGCGCGGCCCAGGCAGAGCCCGAGCCTCAGACCCTAACCCCGAGGGCTCGCACCTCACAGGCCCCGGCGCCTCGGCCCGGGCCGCTCCGTCCCTCGCGGGGACGCGGACAGCGCCCTCCACCGCGCCGCAGGGCCCCGGGCCGCTCACCCGCGCCGCAGCCGCTGCCACTGACGCTCGGCGACGCGGGGGTCACCGCCTGAGAGCGAGGTCCCTGCAGCTGACTGCAACCCGCACCCCGGCGCTGGGTGGCAGGAGGCGGGACTTCCGGTCCCGTGCCGCGGACGCCGGAAGCGGCCTATCCTGCCGGGCCGGCGCCGGAAGCGTCGCGCAGTCCCGTAGTTCCCTCATGGCGGCGGTGGGGACCTGGGCGCGGCGCGGCGGAGACTGAGCTGCGAGCCTGGCGGGCGTGCGCCGAGCCTCGTGCCCCCCCAGCCCCGGGCTCTTCACCCTGATGCTGCGCGGGTGCTGAGCCCGCCCGGGTCGGGACGATGGTGAAGTATTTCCTGGGCCAGAGCGTGCTCCGGAGTTCCTGGGACCAAGTGTTCGCTGCCTTCTGGCAACGGTACCCGAATCCCTATAGGTAGGTGGTAGAGCGAACCCCCTCCCTTCCGGAGATCCGAGCGTTGGCCGTCTAGAGTACTGGGGCCAGGAGAGGCTGGTGTCGCTGGAACCGTGGCCACAGTTAGGGCACAGCATTAAGATTGGGACCAGCCTGCAAGGCCCTCGAAGACGACTTTCCGGGTTGTGAATTACATGAGGCTCTGGATGTCCGCTCTGTGGTCTCAAGGTGGTGAGGCAGAAGAGGCGGCCGCACGGGAGTCAAGAGTTACCTGGGGGTTGGAGACCCTGGCGGTGGCCTGCTCACCTGCCCTTGGCGCTCCCTAGTGGTGCAGATCTTGAGATTGGAATGCCTCAGAAACCAGGTCAGGGAGGAGGAGGGATTTGGAATTTGCCCGGGGATAGGTTCAGCATACTCTTAACTCTGAACCCGGGTAACAGAGCACTCTGTAAGATTGCAGGAAGTCTTGACCTGGGCTCCAAACAGGAACCCGTGAACAGTTGATCAGGGGCAGACCTCTGAGAATCATGTTTATTGTCACACGTGCAGCAAACATGTCTTAACCGAAGACATCGTGCACCGGGAGGTGACCCCTGACCAGAAGCTTCTGTCCCGGAGACTCCTGACCAAGACCAACAGGATGCCACGTTGGGCAGAGCGACTGTTTCCTGCCAACGTTGCCCACTCGGTGTACATCCTGGAGGACTCGATTGTGGACCCGAAGAATCAGACCATGACCACCTTCACCTGGAACATCAACCACGCCCGGCTGATGGTGAGACCTCCTTTGGACCCTTCAGATCGCAGGCGAGAGAGTTGTGGAGTTACTGTGGCCTAAAGCAGGTTTAGAGTACCGATGAGCAAAGTCTGTCGAGTTGCACCCTCAGATTGTCGTCGTCGTCGTCGTCCCCTCCCCCCCCTCTCAGATGATGGGGAAACACTTTTCAGAACTTGTTTCAAGTGCTGCACGCAAAACACTTAGTTGTGTGACGTGCATGCACATAGATAGGGTGGACGCTGGGGGAGAAAGGGCTGTGACTAGGTAGCCAACAGGCACAGTGGTGTGTTTGTGATTACTATCTTTGTGTTGTTCAAGAAGTTGCCAATCACTTTGATAAAGAAAGCTGTGATTATCAGGTGTAGGTGTGTGTGGGTGTGTGTGTGTGCGTAATGCCAGAGAGCTCGGAGAGAGTGCAGAAGGCAGACTAGAAACACTGCATGTCTGGATCCTTAGGCCCCAAGCAAAACCCAGGATCAGGCTGGAATGCTGATCCCAAGAGACCACGGTCTACTTTTCAGGGCCAGCAAGGAGGTTGGAGATGCAGGCTGGCTTCCCTCCGACCCTGGGGATACATGGAGAATAGAAAGAATGTCCTTGTTGTTGCTTCCCCTTGTGAACGAGTGTTGAGTACAGGAAGGCAGTGCTGGCTCACGCAGCACAGTGGAAGCAGGGTTGAGTCTGGGAGTGAGCAAAGCCAACGGTGCTCCTACAGGGTGTGCACGCGATTTCCCGTGCAGGTGGTGGAGGAACGGTGTGTTTACTGCGTGAACCCTGACAACAGCGGCTGGACCGAAATCCGTCGGGAAGCCTGGGTCTCCTCTAGCTTATTTGGCGTCTCCAGAGCTGTCCAGGTAAGAGGTTTGGGGGCTGAGCGGGGCTGAGCGGGGCTGGGCTCTGGGCCATTGAGCATTTCTCCCATGCTCCTCTCTCTCCTGCCAGGAGTTTGGTCTTGCGCGGTTCAAAAGCAACGTGACCAAGACAATGAAAGGCTTTGAGTACATCTTGGCCAAGCTACAAGGTGAGAGCTCTGGACACTGCTTGGGGCGTGAAGGGACCCTCACTAGCAATGGCTAGGATGAATCTAACCCTAACCCTCAGCTTAACCAGTCATTGCCCTGAGCAGAGCCTGAGGCCCTTGTGAGTGTCTCTGGAAGGGCCGGGTGGGGGTGGGGTGGTGGGGAAGCAGGACAGTGACTTCGCCCCTCAGAAGCCTGGCCCGTAAATAGTGACTGCCTGGTTGAACAGGGATTGAGTGGGCCTTCTAGGCATCACCTGAAGCCTGCCTCCTGTCGTTTGCCACAGGTGAGGCCCCTTCCAAAACACTGGTTGAGACAGCCAAAGAGGCCAAAGAAAAAGCAAAGGAGACGGCACTGGCAGCTACCGAGAAGGCCAAGGACCTGGCCAACAAGGCCGCCACCAAGCAGCAGCAGCAGCAGCTTGTGTAGCTCCCTCCTCCCCCTTCTCACTGTACTTGACTATTAAAAGTCCACCTCCAGCCCTCTCTGCCGTCTGGTGGTGGGTCAGGGTGGTGTCCTGGTCCGCATCTGAGTACACCGGCTCGGCGTCTGCTGAGCCCAGCCTCCTTTTACCCCATTGGGCAGAAAGGTGCAGTGACTTGCCCCGGGTCACAGCGGTACGCAGGGGAAGGCATCCATGGTAGACTGTGCGCTCCTCGAGGGCAGGGCTCCTTGTTTCACGCTCTGATGTGTCCCGAGTACCCTGAACAATATTTAGCACATAACAGGCACTCAATAAACACTTGATTTGATTGGGCCCAGTTCTGGAGTCAGATAGCTTTGGTTTGGATCTGGACCTCGGGCAAGTCACGGTGAGCAGCAGCCTCCGCCCTGCATTAGACGCGCTGCCTAGCGCATGCCTGTCTGGCAGCACTGATGTTACTTCCTCTTTTGCCGGCTGTGGCTGGGACTTCCTCTTTTTCATCAGGCAAAACCATGGACGGGAACTTAGAAAAGAGGATTTTAATGAAAATACTGTGCGGTGGGGAGGGAGGCGGAGGCTCTGCCCAGGAACAAGAGGTCTACAGGCTGCTGTCCCCATGGGACATAAAATGCCCTGGGGGGGGGGGTGGCCCAGACTCAAGCTGTAAAGCTGAGCCCACAGATTCCTGTTCCACACATGGATCTTTCAGAGTCTCCATCAAGTGGGCTCTAAGCAGACCGTGGGGCTTGTGTGGGGCTCCTGCCTAGCAGGCTCAGTCCAAAGAGAAAAGGGTGTCATGGACATTGAGTGTCATAGCCAGCTACCAGCGCCGTGTGAGTAGCCGAGCCCCGGGTTAGTGCTGAATCTCGGAAGCAGCTCAGTCTCAAACACCAGGCTCTCCACATCCACCTCTGCATCCTCTGCGGAGAAGAGAGAATCCTGCCTGTCAGCAGCCCCGCCCACATGCCCACAACCCAGGCCTGCCCAGGTCGGGACACTCACCTTGGTCTGAGTCTGAGCGCTCAGAGGACAGAATGGAAGAGTCCAGGCTGTCAGCTCGCGGCCGGTCCCGCTCTCCAGCCCCAGGCAGCCCCTGGAGCTGCTCCAACTGCTGCTGCAAGGTTTGCTGTTTGCTGCGAAGCTTCTCCTTGAGCCGCTGGGCCTGCTGCTCCTGCTCCTCCAGCTTCTGCAGAACCCCAGGGACTGGTCAGATGCCCAGAGCCTGACCTTTCTGAGGCCACCAGGGCCTTTGTCTATGCCAGACAGGCAACCACATAAACCAACCAAAGGTGATTTCACATCCTCCAGGAGGCCACCACCGCCTGCCCTTCTACATACAAAGATCTGTCTAGATGGCTGTGGGTGGCTGGGTACCCCAATCTCAAATGCCTCTGGAGCCTAGTCACCCTAATAAGGGTGGAGTATAATGTAAGTACAAACTTGGAGACAGAGGCAGAGAGGCCACAGCATCCTGACAGGCAAAACTGGCTGAAGTGTATGGCCACACCTGAGCTGTATCCCATTGCTGGACATAGTCACTGCCCCGTCTCTCCTATAAATAGTGGAAAGCCACATTTTTCATGTCATGTCTTTGAAGTGCTGCCAACCAACTTAAAGTGTCGGACTACGTATGAGAGACCAGTAGTTGACTGGGTAAGCAGCTCAGTGGTAAGGTGCTTGCCCAGTGCATGCAAGCCCCATGGTTAGGTCCTCCTCCCGTACAAATAATAATTTTGTTTTTTGAAGACAAGAAGAGGAAAATAAGCCAGAACACTCAAGATGAGGTACAAGAGGATACCTGTCCTCACTTAGACTAAGATGTGGGGTTGGGTTGCCACCAAGGTAGAGGGATCCTGGGAAGCTTGCAGAGTCCAGCTTTGTGAGACAGGGAGAAAAGCCTAAAAAAGCTGTCATGGGGCTGTGTGGGACCCAAGAAAGCAAGGCCTGCATTAGGGAGTAGGTGCTGAGGCTGTGCCCTGTCAGGCTTATCCAGCTGGAGATGGACCCCGAGAGAGAGCTTACATGCAGGGTAGAAAGCAGCCTGGTAGGCGCCAAGCCAGAAGCCATGCTGCCCGGGAAGGGAAGCTGCCGGCTCTTGCAATGTGCCATCCAAAACCTGAGTCACACATTTCATCTACCTGAAAACAAGGTCAAAGGAGCTCCACGGGAGAAACAAGAGCCTGTGTGACAACCAGGACAATGAAGGTGACAGCATGCACCTATATGACAGTACACACATGCCCCACAGCCACGATTTGTTTGCTGACAATTTGTTTGCTGATGGCACAGACTGCCATGGCCATTGACTGGAGCCTGACAGAGGGGCCTAATAAATGTCTGCTGGTAAGGTAGGACGGGCATTATCCTCCTGGTCCTGAGTCTCACTCTGTTTGCTCTCATCAAATGGGCCCAGAAGGCAGGGAAAATCCTCTTTTGTTTCCAAGGCAGCTTCTAAAATGCCCACATAGCAGGCCTTGGCAGCTGCATACCCACTCGTGTCCACCAGGGGGCCTGCAGTCCCATCCAAGCAGAGGCAAGGCCAGGTGGGACCAGCTAGTGGTTCATCTCTGTCCTTTTCCTCTGGGTCTCCAACCCTGTGCACGATACCAGCAGAACCCAAACCCAGTAAGCCCTGAAGGCTGGGAGGAGAGGGCAGGTACCGCCCTCTACAGTCGCCTGAATCACATGGTTAACGAGTATTTTCAACAGCCATGTCCTCTGCGGAACTGAACAGGAAACACTTGGGGAAGGTCTCACAGCTAGGACCTAAGTAATACCATAACTCAGAAACAATTGTCTCTCACCACACAGGATGTGGGCAGGTCCCAAACCTCCAGCAAGCCCTCCACACCACACCATCCCACAGGATCTAAAAAGCACACTGGAGACACAGACAGCACCTTACCTGGATATGCATCCTGGCCCGGCGCAGCAGGCTCAGCGTGGTATAGCGGGCACAGTCAACCCCCAGGGGCATCTGCTGCCTCAGCTGCTCCAGGCACCGCTTCAGCTGGGCCCTCCTGCAGGGGAAGGGGTCTGGAGGGCAGTGCCAGCCCCACCTCACCAGCCAGAGGGAAGGCAAGGGAGGAAAGGTCTCAGAGAAATGGCCCTTGGGACCTGGTACTGCGTTAGAACTCACCTGCGTTTTTCCAGCTCATTGTGTGCGGACCTGCCAATGCCAGAAAGAGCTGAAGTGAGGGACGGCTGTCAACACGTCCACAGTCCCAGGCTACTGGCTGGTTCAGAGTCACTACAGATATCTGTGCCAAGTAAGCCTTTTGTAAGGGCCCGGGCGGGCTCATCTAAGGCACCAAAACCCCAGGCAGTGAGTGACAAGAGGAATCACAAGCACATACACCAAAAGGTACAGGTGGTGATAGGGTCTCCCTTGACAGCCAGGAAAACGGGATTCTTGAACAGATGTGACACTGGATCCAGAAACAAGTCTGCCAGGAGTCAGTAAAGGGGAAAACATTTCAAAGGAACTCCATAGGTCAAAAGTCAGAAAAGCAGAACCCTGAAGGGAGAGTTCAGGAGTGTGAGTGGACAGGGACTCAGAACTGTCTTGTTACAGTTCGCGGCACATCAAAGGAGTGTGTGAGTGTGTGTGTGTGTGCGCACGCGCGCGCGCGCACACACACACGCACACACACACACACACACGCGCGCGCACACACACACACACACACTTTTGGAGAGAGGGCATTTAGTGTAGCGTACCTGGCCCAGAAAAGCAAACGAGGAAGGGAGGAGAGTGTTGAATGGGCCAGCAGAGGACTAGCGCCCCTCCCACACTGCCCCCCTGCTCACCGCCCACTGTTCAGCGCGCCAGGAGCTGGCAGGGGTCGCTTCCTCCTCCTGTAGACAGTCCTGGGGCTGTAGTGTGGACACAGGGAAGCATAGCCGTGCTCCGCCTCTGCCAGAGAGAGGACCCAGCCCGTCAGCAGGAGCAGCGTGATGAAGGAAAGGTTTGGGCGCCAGGATCCCTTCCCCACTCACTCCCTGACTTGTCGCCCGCGAACTGCTGTGGATGTGCGGGCGGCAGCGCACCAGCTGCCCTGAGCCGGGCTCTGTCCAAGTTGGGAGCCAAATCCAGCCCGCGCGCGGGGTCTGTCCTCACCTCTCTCGCGCCTCTCCAGGAACTCCGCCGCCTGCAGCAGGACCTGGATGTTGCTGGCCACGGGTTCCATGTCGGCGACAGCCGGTGGCGAGCGGGCTGGGGATGCTAGCCCTGGAACCACTTTTGTTTCAACGTAACTGACACGGTGCCCCAAACACAGGGCCCGCCCCGCCCCCGTCCGCCCCGCCCCGCCCCGCCCCGCCCCTGGGAACCGCGACCGCCCCGCCCTGCCCCGCCCGTCCCGCCTCTTCCCGCCCAGTCTATCCCGGTCCGCGGCTCCCTCGCCCGGTGACAAGCGCTCAGCCGAGCCGGACAGCGTGGACACCGGGCGCTGCGAGCTGCCCACACTCCTGCCACCCGCAATCGCGCGGGCCTGGGTTGCACGTGCGCGCGGGCGCGGCCACGTCCTCGGGGCGGGGTCGCGGGCCACCGAGACAGGGTTGGCTGGCGCGCGGCCCCGCCCTCTCCAGCCGCGGGGCCCCGTCGGGCGGGAAAAGCCGCAGGTTTCAAATTTGAAAACCCGGACGGTGAGGGCGGGGGCGAGCAGAGAGGGACGGCGATGCGCAGGCGCCTGCGGAGGGGCGCGGGCGCAGGACACGGCGCGGTCCGTCCCGCATCTGACCCTCGTGGGTCCTCGCGGGGCCTCAGCGTCCACCGTTGGGCCGAACGAGAATCTCTCCTGCCTGCCCCGCCATTTGCAGGGAAGCTAACGTCATCGTGAGTATGTCGGTCGGTAACAGCTTCCCAAGCCAGGGCACGAAGCACACCATAAGGTCCTGGGTTCTGGAGTGACAGAATAGGGCTCCTCTCCCGCCACTGCTAAGTGTGACAACTCGGGGACCCTGAGAGCGTCGCGGAGGGGTCAGAGCTTATGCCTATGCAGTGCCCAGAAATGAAGCATCCGTCTCTCATTAGGGCCGTTGCAAGCAGACAGAACAAGACTGCCAGCCTTGTGGAGAAGGCTCCAGGAGCAGTACCACCAGGGGTAACCACACCTATGAGTCAGGAAGGGTGGGGCATTCTGAGAGTTCACTAGAGCAAAGAGGGGAGACTCTGAAAAGATGGCCTAGGTAAATACAGGCACATGCCAATCAGGCCCCTTCAGAAAGGGCTCTCTTAAAAGTCACTGTCAGAGAAATAACTGTTAGCTAAGAATTGCTGCTATGTAACAGTTTGTAGACTGAAACGAAATCATTGTAGCTATGGAGATAGACACTGGAAGGGCGGCCCAGACCAGGAACAGGTGGATGGCCCTAAAACTCCCATCAGCAATCAACCGTGTAAAGCTTGAGCATTAATTCCTTTTGGAAGAGAGTGAGGAATGCATTAACACGGGATCTCATGTCCAGCGATCTAGCTTCAAAGTCGCTATGTAACAGAGATAAGGACCTCCTGATACTCCTTCTCCGCCTCCCAAATACTGGGGTTACAGAGGGGCTCCGTATAGTCAGTTGGTTTCTAGTTTTATTTGTCTGAGAGTCCACAGGCAGTGCAGGCACAAACCTCGTAATATACGTGGTACCCAGATGACCTTAGAGCAGAATGAACACAGAGAGGCTCTCCAAGGAGAGCTCCAGCAGAGGGAAGGCCTGGTAACGTAAGTACAGTTCCTAGGGAAAGGGTGAGGTGCTCGGAGGCCCCTGTGAGAAAATGCTCCAGCAAATACTTTGTAGACTTGGCCCCAGTACTGTGATGATCTGTCAGCAGAAAGAGCCTCTGTGCCTGAAACCCCTGGGTCCTGTGCTGCCTGACCCTGCCAGTCACGGTAATTATTGTGGGCTCACCTTGTTTCCAAGGTGGACTTGGGCCTTGGATGAGAAAGAAGGCAGGCTTCCCAGGGAAGGCAGCCCTCCATCTCACCCTGCAGATAGTTCATGGGATGGCCCTGCTATGCTGCCCCAGGAACCCTGTGGGTCCTCTCTGCAGATGGGAGGAGCTAGAGGGGGGTGAGGGGACCTGACTCAGATGCCAGACTCCTTCTGGGCTTGCCTTGCTGCAGAACAGCCTTCCTTAGCAGAAGTGACGGCCAACAACCCTCAGCTCCAAGCCGGAGCTGGGCAGTGCCCTTCCTGCCTCCTCGGCAGATCCTGCCCTGGCCTCCCTGCCTTTACAGCTGTGCTCAAATGCCACGTCCTCCAGGAAGTCTCCAGGCTCCCCTCTAAAATCACCAGCAGTCCTGTGTCCCTTGGGGTCAGCTCTTTTACTGGACTGGACCCAGTAGCAGAGGAAAGCAGGACCAAGGAAAGCAGGCGGCCACCGTCCGGACGACATGGCACAGTAACTTATTACCTTTTTCAAGTGGACTTTTATTATTACTCTTTTGATGTGAGTGTTTTGCCTGCCTGGTCCCCTGGAGGCCAGAAGAGGGCATCAGAATCCCTGGAACAAGAGATGCAGATGGTTGTGTACCACCATATGGGCGCTGGGAATCTAACCTACATCAGATTCTGGAAGAGCATCCAGTACTCTTAACCCCTGCTCTGTTTCTCCAGCCCCTCAAGTGATCATTAAAATGATTACTTTAAAAAGTATATATCTTTGGATTATCACAGTCTACCTTGGATCAATATGACTCAATGTATGTGAGTGTGTATGTGTGTGTGTGTACTTGTGTATGTGTGTACCTATATGCATGTGTATGTGTGTACGTGTGTGTACATATGAGTATGTGTGTGTACATGTGTGTATGTGTATGTCTGTACATGTGTGTGTACATGTATGTGTGTGTACATGTGTGAAGTAGATTATTTATGCAGATAATCATGCTTCCATTTGCTTCCTAGCACCCTTCTTCCCAGTAGTGTTATATTTTACTTCTACATGTTATGCTTTCTAAGTCACACTATAACACCTTGACTTTGTGTGTGTTCACACATGTGCATGTGCTGGGGATTGAACCTGGAACCTCACATGTTCTTAGAAGTGAGCTGACCTTATGAGCTACACCAATAGCCTTAAGTAGCAAGAGTAGCTGGGGCAGGAGGAAGGGCACACATCTTTAATCCCAGCACTTGGGAGGCAGAGGCAGTCAGATCTCTGAGTTCGAGGCCAGCCTGTTCTGCAGGGCGAATTAAAAAAAAAGGCTCCAATACAGAAAAACCCTGTCTCAATAAAAATCAAAATGAATAAACAAATAAATATCAAGGATAACCAATATCCCGCAGCTGGGGGCTGAGCTTAGCTGTAGAACATCTGCCTAGCATGTGTGAGGCCAGGAGGATTCTATCCGCAGCACCGCTAAAACTCTTTCCCATTTCATCCCACATTTACCACTTCAGTACCGCCAGCCCTTCTGCCAGATACCACTGCTCCCCAGCCTGGGGTTCTTTCCTTGGCATTTAGTGCCTCCCTCCATCAGACTAGCCTGTGGCCATGGCTGTGAGTCATTTTCTCAATTGCTAACTGCTGTCGGAGGACTCAGCCCACTATGGGCGGTGCTAACCCTAAGCAGGTGGGCCTGGGCTGTGTAAGAGAGGTAGCTGAACAAAGCCATGGAGAGCAAGTCAGTCAGCGTCTTCCTCTGTGTCCTGCCCTGTCTTCTGTCAGTCATGACTGTAAACAATGAGGTGACATAAGCCCTTTCACCTTCCCCAAGTTGCTGCTGGTCAGATCACAGCAACAGGAAAGCAAGCTAGGACATTGCCTGTTGCTATACTGTATTGTTTAGGGAAAAATAGGAAGGAAAAGTCCATGTTCCCAGTCGGATGCAGCCTCAGTTGCTCTAAATACCTTCAACACCAGGGATGCAGAGATGCGAAACCCAAAGAGACGGATGAAGACCAGCTCTGCTGAAATTTCCTATTTTAAACCAGAACGGATTAAAAACATATCTACTGAGTTGTCTTAGTACTGTAGTTTTTAGATGTATTTGTTTTATGTGTGTGAATGTTTTGCCTGCATGTATGGATGTGTGTGTACCATACGTGTGTCCTGTGCCTGCAGAGGTCAGAAGAGGAGGTCTGGATATGGAGTTACACGTAGTTGTGAGCCACTATGTGGGTGCTAGGAACTGAACCCAGGTCCTTTGCAAGAGCAGTAAGTGGTCTTAATGCTGAGCCATGGCTCCAGTAGGTTACAGGCTTTCCTTATCTCCACCACCCTCCCCTAGCCAAGCCCCTTCATGAAATTTTCTCTTTAACCACTAATCAAGTTCAAGTGTCTTCCCCCTCCCCCTGAAAAAAAAAAAAAAAAAACACATAGTGCAGTCCTAACAACAGATGTTGCTATCTTTGGAAATGGGGCCTGTGTAGAATGAAAGAAATCATTGTAGCATGGTTGAGTATGATTGGTGTCTTCATCAAAACAGGAAGTCTGGGGACAAACACTTATGCAGGAAGATGGCTACATGGGGGAGGGGTCAGAGACTGTAGCGGTGTGGCTGCAAGCCAAGAACTGCTGAATCAGCAGAAGCTAGAAGTGAACCGGTGGGGTGTGGCCCTGCCTCCCAGTCGCCCTGAGGGACAGCAATAGTCTGTAGTTTGGGCCACCAAGCTTGAGGTGCTTTGCTACTGCGATCCTAAACACACGCGAATAATTCCCAACATTTATTTCACCTGATTTTCCCATTAGGCTGTAAGTTCCATGGTCAAACAGTTTTTCCCCGGGTGTGTGTGTGTGTGTGTGTGTGCGCGCGCATGGGGGTGCCACAGCCACATGTGGAGGTCAAAGGACACCTTTTGGGGTGATAGTCCTCCTCCCTCACGGGATCTGTGTGAAAGAGTTAGAGGGACACAGGGAGGAAAAGGTGCTTCCTGGGTTCCGGAGGACGTTTCTAGAAGGAACATGAAAAAGGACTGAGGCAGTCCCTCAACAGGACCGCGGTGGAGAGGAGGCCACAGCAGCCCTTCAGACAGAGGCCTTCCGATCCATCCGAAGGGTAAAGTTGCTTTCATGGCCCAGCCCCCTGCTGTTTGTGCATGCGTGCCCGCATTTGTGGATGCCCCGGAAGGAGCTCAGTGGCCACTAGATGACCAGCAGCTCGCACTTGCATGTTTGGGGTCTCTCATCTGAAACTGGAGAAGACCTCTACTCCAGGTCATATCTCTGACTACAAATTGTGCAGAAGGACTTGGAAGTGGGCGGGACCCAGAGCAAGGGATCCTTCCCAAC